AGATTCCCAACACACCTGTCCTCATCCTATCCTTCCTTACAGACAATTGAAATTCTTGAACTTGTACATGTACTTTCACAAGATGAAATGGACTTTTTCTTTTTCTTTTTCAAAATAAGCATCAGTTGTTGGCTTATTTCCCCCTTGTACTGTGATAGATCCTGTGACTTGAAACAATGAACAACTATCATTTTACTTAGGGAAAGAAAATATGTTTGATTAATAACTACAGGCTTACTGTGCGCACTGTTGACTGGCAGATGTTGTTGCAACATTTCAGCAGCAGTGCAATGGCCCTGTAAGACTAGGGCTTGAGAAAAGCAAGGAAATCAAAGCAGTTCTAAATTCCTGTAGTGGTTAATCAGTCCAAATAGGTCCCCAAACAAGTCAGATGAAAAACCAACATCTTACAAAATGGAGGGGTTTTCAAAACCAGTCAATCAAGTAATGGTGGATTTGCCTAATATGTAATTTTATTATCAACAAGAGGCCATGACAGATGCACCACTGAAATTCCATTATGTATATCAAATGTATTGTACCCACCAATTTCGGAGTTTCTACATCAGTTCTTTCTTTTCCAGTTGCGCACAATTGACACAGATGTCAACCAAAACAGAAACTGACATCAGCATCACACATCTCAGCAAATTAATCATATCTAGTCCATTACATGTAGGAAAGAAACCTCAAGCAACGGTGGGCCGCTACACTAACCGTAGCGGTTAGTGTAGCGTAGCGCAGCGGAATTCCCGTTAGCGTTAAGCGTAGCGTAGCGGAATTCTGCCACGACACCGCTAACGCTACGCGTGTGGGCCACAAAAAAGGGCCCACTACGCTGCGCTACAGCGGTTTTTAGCCGCTTTTTCCGCTAAAAGCGCTGTAGCGCAGCGTAGCGTAGCGAAAATGCGCTACAAAAGCGCTAACAGTACAAAATTTTGGCGCAAAAAAACGCCGCTACGCTACGCTTTTTGGGCCAAAAGCGTAGCGGCCCACCGCTGCCTCAAGTGTGTTCAACCAGCTACTGACTAATGAAGCATGAGCTCCAAAGGAGGAAAAAAGTCCCTTGAAGTCTAAAATTTACTTGCAAAGCTGAAGAATCTTGACATCAATGGTATCAATCTATAATTCACATAATGCATTAAGCATAAAAAATATCTACACTCACAGAAAAGGACTATCAATCTAGTCAAAAAAGGGAGGCCTCAGTATATGTTATCAGAATTGAATCTTGGAAAAAGCTGATGTTGACTTAAATCTTATGCTTTTCCAATCAAATTTTAAATAAATAACGACTCTGTAAGCCCACACTTCAAAGTTGCAACCAATTTCCAGAACAGAACAAATCTTTATCATAAAAATGTCAAAGGGAAGAAGAAGTGAAGTTTTGATTATATATATACATGTTTTGAGAAAACAATTGTGTAATTTTATAATATATATGACTGGTTGGAATGGCAGGCACTTGAATGTCTGTGTTACCATCAAAAGATATTTTGTAGGGAATTTTTTTCATATATTAGAGCAACCACCTCAGTTTCTGGATTGAGGCCGGATTAGCGTACCTACTCCAAGCTAGTCCGAGACCTAAACTGCATCGGGTCCAAGTTAATTGGACTAAACTAATCCCAGAGTAGGATTTGAGCTAAGTAGGATTAAAGTTACTCCTCACTAATCCTGGGATTAAGAGCCAAACTGTACACTCAACATGCATGTGACCCCAGCTACTCCTGGGTTTACACCACACCAATGCAGTTGAAGACCTGAAGTAGCCCTAATCTGGGAGTAAGCTACTCCGCTACTCCACAATTTAAGCTGGCACCAATGTGGTTGCTCTTACTCTTAGGGGGTATCTACATATAACTAAAAAGATGGCCTCAGGGGCCCAAAAAACGCATCAGGCTTTCTAACCTTGATGTTGACCCTCAATTCAGCTTTGTATTGATTTCTCATACAGCTTCTAACACTGATTTGACGTTGGAGACTGGACCAGCAATTCATTGCCAGGCTTGGGGTACTTACTAGTGAGGCCCTGGTGGTAACTATGACTGTGACTAAGGAATGGAAGAGTGCCGTGTCTGAATTAAAGGATAAACAATTATGAGTTTTGATCTTGACACAGCTCAGAGGATGCTTGATGAGACTTATGTGCATCTTCCTGCAGCTTTCTAGCCGGAGCAACCAATCGCAATGCAGATCAGAGTTGGGATATTAACACGTCAGGGTAAAAGGCGGTGCAACTGGTCATAAGAGAACTTGAGAAGGTTGTGTTTGAGTCATGTACAAGGCGTAAGGAATTGTGAGGTCAGAGAGGCAATGATAGGGTTGGAATAAGAGACTGCCAAGATAGAAAGATTAGGCGGAAACCTTCTGTTTGGGTAGTGAAACCCTGTACGCAATAAAGTGAGGTTCACAAGTGCAACAGTTGGCTATTGGCTTTACTGATTCTATTAGTAGTATCTTGGTTTGTGGTTATAATTGTGCTGAAGAAACGTAGTGGGCAAGGCCAGCGACTCCTTTAAATACTAAAAGGAGATGCTGGTTGGCTTGTGGTCATCCTATTCCTTGGGGTCAAGCAATAGGATGGAAATAGTATTAGTAGATATTTCTTCCAACAATTGGGAGGTGAGCCGTGTTGCAATGTGTTGTTTCTTGCTGCACTGCAGCATATTCATTTACTCGCACCTGCATGTTGTCTTATCCTTATTTCTTTCTTTTTATTCTTTTAATTATGATCTTTTCTTTTATGAAGGGGTTTAAACTTATTAACCCCTGGCATTCACCCTGCAAGCGAGGGGCTGGCCTGAAGTGACATAATCAAATCTTGCAGGTTGGACCATTGATCTCATATTGCTTTGATCAATTGCTTTGATCCAATATATAATTATTCCAACCTTGCTGGGCCTCCCCAAACTTGATGAAACTTGGGCTTGCTGAGCTATCAAGCATTCTCTTGGCCTACAAACAATCAGCCTCTCTGATTCAGATTACTGTCAAAACCTACTTCAAAAACAACTTTTTTCTAAAAAAAAACTTTTTTTTGTTTAAAAAAGACAATAACATCAAAACAATCTCAAAAAGGCAATAAAATCCAGAATATGAATCAATTCAAATGATATTGAACAAAATTGTAGCAAACAATGGTAGAAGTATTAGAAAGCGTTGAAGAAACTGAAAGAGGTGGTAAAATCTACAACTAAGACTGGCTGTACTCATTCAAATTTGAAGTATCATGAAATGTAAAATCTGCATATTCCCATTTACATTGAAATTTTCCTTAGTTTGCTTTTAGTTTATGGTCCAATGGGGTCAAAAACTGCCAAATAAGTAAACTTTTTTTAGTTTTTTTTTAGCTTATGGTCCAAGGGAATCAAAAACTGTCATATAAATTAGACCTTTTTCAGTTTTAAAAATGAAGACAGTTTTGCTATCAAATGATGATTGAATGACAGTAAAATTTCCAAAAAAAAAAACCATCTGTCTAACAGATATTCTAATTTAAATGATCCAAGATAGCCAAACAGAGTATAATAATCTCCAACCTTGGCATCAATCCTCATTTCAGATTTGTGCCTTGTATGGCATGTTGAGGTGGACCAGGTGAAGGCACTAAAAGTCACAGATGCTAGATCTTGTGACAGTGACTGAACAGGAACAAAAATATGGTTTGAATTCAATGAGAGAAGAGTGTTGTATCGGGGCCAGCATAGACTATATACAACATGACATTTGATAGAAGCATACTAGCCTATAAGCATTCCAACATGGCATTCTCATGAAGCTTTTGAGTTTGATTTCATCATCAAAGGCTGAATTCCAACTCCTCATTGGAAATTCTTTGGATTTAAACTGGATATAATTCTTTCTTCCATCATGCCACATTGTCATTAATAAATCTGCTGTTACCAAAGATACAGCCAAATTTGGAGCAAACATAGACATAATTGCATTTTTAGATAGGATTGAAATCTACATTTGAATGCATTCCTGAAAATAGCATTGATCATTTCAAAAGTATTGCTCCCACTTACATTCTAACCCAATATATCTTTCTGATTCCAGGATAAAACATAGTAAGTGTGACCTGTTGCAAAAGAAATTTTTAAAATACCTTTTTAGTTTTTGAAATAAGCATCTACCCTTGGCTCATTTGCTCACTATGACTTGCAAAAAATAACAATTCCAATCATACCTTGGTCAAAAATGGGAAAAATGAACAATTTTAATCATGGTTAATGCTTCAATTGAATACGTGAGTGTTTTAATGCAGAATCAACTATTGTTTCTTCCTCAGACATCACTCAACAAAGAATAATTCATTCCGAATGACCAAGGCAAATCTATCTGGATCTGTTGTGGACTTAATATCCTCACATAACTTTCCTATGTTGGATGCGTCTAAATCCAGTTTATCAACTAAAATCTTGTGAAAAGAATTACTTTCCAGTATTTCTTTCCAGCTCCTGTCTTCATTTAATTGTGTGATTCTTTCTTTCTTATACAACATGAAACAGTCCCTAACATTATTCCAGTAAATTTTTTTTGAATCTGCTCTGATTCCTTGACTTTGGGTTTTCCTTTCAAAATTGATACTGACAGGTAGTAAGTATAATCTAAAAGCATGGCCTTCCATGTTTCAATTTTGAATTCCAAAAACCCAATCCCAGTAGACAATATTTTCTTCTCACTTCCTCCTTCTATTTTTCATCATCACCACTGTCAATGTTTCCATCTATAGGATTAAAAACTAACGGGAGAAAAACAGGAAGTGGTTTGCACATAATGTGAGCGCAAATATTTTTGACTATCAAGCTAAGGCGCCTAGTACATAATATCAGTACTTGGCAGGCAAGTTTTCGAAGATTATTTCGAGACAGCTATCGGTGCCTCAATCCTAACAATGCCAACCCCATCGATACTCATCTTGTGACCACGCGGCGCGGAAGATGATCGAACCTGTTATATCTTGAATTCCACAAAAGGACATCGGTTACAATGAGATGAGCTCAGAAAGCATTAGTTATTGTATGTACACTGCAATATCGATCAAAAAAGCCAACGCCTCCGTTGATCTGGATAGAGCGGTAAGTAGAAATTTCCCCTGAACTCGACACTGCTTTGCAAAAGTTCTGCCCGATGGATTTGGGGGATCAAGCTCGTTCACCGGCAGGTTTGAACGACCGTCCTGGAAGTCGAAGAGGACGTTGCCCGTCGCGCAGAGTTGAGACTCGTATACCGTTTTCCATTCATATCTCAAGGTATGTTCGATCATCCGATGGCAATGCTTGGCAGCGACGCTCCGAAAACGAGGTTATTATGAGGCTGAATGGCCAGGATCGCCTGCCGATCACAACGGTATCCAGCGAATTTACTGTCTTCAATCCTCCTCGGCACCAATAATTCGGCGAATAATGAGTGTTACAAAGAATATAGGCCTTCAAATCAGGCTTGCCCCGCTTTGTCGCCTGGACAGCGGGTCAGAAATAATTGGACATTGTCGCGGGCGCCACATCCTGATCTTCAGTCTCTGGGTGATCAAACCTGGAGGCTTCCCACTGCACCAATGGAATAGCGCGGTGGAAATGAATCTCAGACACGGCCGGATTGCCGTGATGGACAAGGAGCAGAGCCAATGTCTCCGCCCAGTGCCGCTCACGAAGAGTGTCCCAGCTCGAGCCAAGCCTCACAAGGCAAGGCTATAAAGACAAGCTGTTTGGCCTCCAAATTGATACCCATCCAACTCATCATATCAACTCAGTCTCAGAGACCTCCCTGTACATAGATTTCAAACAAGAAAACTCTTTCACTTTAAACGACCTTTCGACCCGAAAAAAAAGACCTCTTACGTTCAAAGAGCATTAACTTCTAACGATGTCGACAAAGATGTATCTCTTCATGCTTGTTGTTTGTACTATCACTCTTACGTCCATACTTGCGGCCGACAACCCGCCACCACAAAAGAATCCATACCCACATACGGCCTCAGCAAAAATCAATAACGGTGCTGGCATTCAGGTTACCATCGATTTTGCGAAAGTGCCCAAAGAGAATCGTCCGCCAGAGACCTCTCATTTCAGTGCTGACAGACCATTAACTAGTGTGACGGTCAAGTATGCTGGATTGGAAGCTGGAAAAGACTATACCTACTTCAGTCAGTCTCGAACGATATTATTCTTGTGTAATCATTGATGTGAAAACTGATCCTGAGTGCGATAATCTTGTTCAGTTCACGAGAAATCGGTTACAGGGACTGATTGCAGTACCGCGGGGGATCACTTGGATCCAAGGAAAGTGAACCCAACAAAAGATCCAAAGTTCCATTGTGATCGCCACAGACCATCTCGGTGTGAAGTAGGGGTACATACAAATTCCACATTTTCTCTTTGAGACCAACATCTCATCTGACTTATTGGATCTTATCACGTCTTACAAACAGGATTTGTCCGGAAAGCACGGTGTTTTGAAAGGCAACGGTCAGACAGAAACCCCGCTCCCCGTATACTACGATGGCAATCTCGCATTGACATATTCTCGAAGAGGAATCCTGGGCAAAAGTATTGTGATTGTCGACTCAACTGGTAAAGCAGTTGCTTGTGGTAAGTAATATGATACTTTGAGATTATCTCACATTATAATCCCAAATCCTCTACAAATATCTCATGACTGACTGAGCCACTCTTCACTTATCACAACAGGTAACGTGGTAGATCCAAATGCACCTGCTACTGCTTGAGCTGAGCTGCATGTAGAGCAAAAATGAGATTTCCAACACACCTGTCCTCATCCTATCTTTCCTTACAGACAATTGAACTTCTCAAAGTTGTACCAATACTCTCACAAGATGAAACGGACTTTTTCTTGCTTTTTTTTTTTCAAAATAAGCATCTGTTGTTGGCTTGTTTCCCACCTGTACTGTGATAGATCCTGTGATTTGAAACAATGAACAACTATAATTTTACTTTTGACCACAGAATTCTAAAGGAAAAAACAAGAAAATGTGTTTGATTAATAACTACAGGATTACTGTGCACACTTTTGACTGGCAGGTGTAGTTGCAACATTTCAGCTGCAGTGCAAGGTCCCTGTAAGAATAGGATTTGAGAAAAGCAAGGAAATGGAAGCAGTTCTACTTCCTGCACCAGTATTAGTAACACTGAATGACCACCAGATTACATGTGACATGAGGCAAAGATCATACAGCTCCTCTGAAAAGAACAAAGGGGCCATTCTATTCCACTTGTAGTAAAAAAGGAGATTGAACAGAGCTATGACCATTGTTTCTCAATTTCACACGTCAACAAGTGACTATTTTTTTTTCCTGATGCTGTAGGGGTGTTAAAAATGACTCCCAGTTTATTAGCAATGGGGGTTGGAAAAACGACTCCCAAAAATTCTCCAATGACTCCCATGTTGGTTGAGGGGTTGTTGGACGGGAGTTGTCTTTCCAATCCCCTTTGGGGGATTGGGAGTTGACCTCCGAATTCAATTTTTTTTATTTCTTTTGGGTGGGAGTCGGTGCCAAGTCTTGGGAGTTGCCTCCCTCCCACTGGCCGGAAGGGACTCCCTCCGGAGTCCGGTCATCGAGACTGTACAGTCTCAATGACCGGAAGGGTACAGTCTCAATGACCGGAAGGGTCACACGTCTCAATCAACGGAA